TTTCCAAAAAAACCTTTTTTTTTTTTTTTTTTTTTTTTTTAAGTTTAATCTCCCTTCCTTTAACCCCTGGGATTGCTAGGATTGTATTAATTATAATACAAGCATCTTCTGGGAGAGAATCAACCACATACATAGTGCCATGCAAATGAGCAACAAAACTAAAATTTACAAGATTATATGAATTTAGACAATATTTGTTAATAATGTTATACTGCTACCACAAGCAAGATTAGTTAACCCACAAAAATTTTAATCGGATATTATACAACTGTTAGCCAAATACAAATGCAAATAAATGTTGCATTTGATCTTTAACTAACTGTAAAACAAAATATCTAATGTTTTGTTTTTGGAAGGTTATGTAGAAATATAGTTTAGTTACTTTTAATACCTGAATACAGGTATCTTCAGTGAACTCAATCTTCTGGTGACCCACTTTCGTGGATCATTATTAATGTTAATACAATACAAAATGGTTCAATATAGCTTTCAATACTGGCAAATAGTACAGATCAAGTAAAAAGATGTAGCAACACAAATATTAGGACACTGTCATACCATGGTGATGCAAGATAGTGATGACCATGAAAGACTTAATACCCCTAATTTGTAAGGTCAGTGAAAGGAAAGCTGTTTCCTTTAATAGGGAAAAACAAGGATTTTAAAATACTATGTTCCCAACACTAAACCTAGTCCAACAAGAACATCTTTTGGGAGGTATAAGTGCATTCTCTCTCTATATATATATCTAATGCACATCAGGTCCTCTTGGAATGTCAAGATTTGCAATATTGTATTTTACGTTATGCAAACAACATTTGCGTAAGACGAGGGCGCCTCATCTGTTTAACTCAGGTGATATCTTGATCTTGCAGTTTTATGGTCAGAACCATGTTAACATGTTTTGATTAGTTTCCAACTATAGTTTACACATACCTTTCAATTAAACTTAAAAGTATATTTGTTGTAAAACTCTTCACTAATTCAAGTATAAACTATTCCCTTGCTCACAGTAAACCTAATCTATCCCCTCATGAAATTAAACCATAAAAGCTTACAAGCTTTTTGTATATTCTAGACTTTTTTTTTTTCACATTAATTTAAGCTGAGCACTCATCTAGAAATTTCTACTTGTGAATTCAATCAGAGCTGATATTACCTACACATTACACTGAAATATCTGAATGACTAAAGAATACATACCTTTCATCATCCATTTCTAAACTGGATTCACTTTCTGATAGTTGTCTGCATAATGCTTCCCTTCGCTCCATCTCCCTCTGCAATTTTCTTTGGAGCCGTAAGTTCTCTTCTCTCATATGCCGCTCCTCCTCTAAATATTGCGCCATCTTCTCCGAATCTGAAATTCCAAAACTTTTGTTAACTTTTAGTTAAAAGCTCATTATCGTATACATGCACATACTTTAAACTTAACTTCCTTATCAGTATAGATCAAGTACTGTGAGTGCAAGTGGCTCCAAGAATTGTTAACTAAATAGAGCGACGTTTAAATTAGAGACCAAGTTAAGCGGATAGTGACCCAAACTAGTTGCTGATAGCTATTTAGTAAATTATGACATTAAGCCTATTTTTTTTAGTGGAACAGATCTAAAAATATATTGTAAGGCTTAAAAAAAAGGAAGAAAATGAAGAGAACCAGAACTGAAGGCAAAATTTTACAAATTTAGAGATCTAAAACTTTAAAGAGGTTTCTTTGCCTTTCATATATTATCTCGATTTCTCTTCTTTGCTAATTACTTTTATGTTTCATTTTAAAATGAGGGTATTCAAAACTCGTGTTTGTATGTGTACACATAGTTCACTGATCTATCAAAGCAAGTATTTGGGTTTGATACAGCTACACAGTAATGCAAGTTACTACTGTCTAGTAAGTCTAAAGGAAAGTCTTAGAGTTGACAGAGGAGAAAAATAAGCATAAGTAAAATCCAGAAAAAACAAAACATTTAAGCTACCTATATTAAACTACAGTCTTGTACGTATTTCCCTGCATGCTTTCAATTAAAGAGACATTATTCCAGCAGGACATCTGTCAATGTTAAGAATTAATGATCATTTAGTTTTTACTTCAAGTAGCAGCATTTAAATATTAAGCATTTAAAAAAGCTGATATTTCTAAACCAAATGACTAACCATCACTTAAATACTCTTTGGTGCCAGAACCCCTAAGTGAAATATTATGAAAGCATAACACTAGAAAATACACTTTTGTATACTCATTTTTAATTAAAAGCAACATAGGATGAAGCTTTCGATTTTATGATATGTAAGATTTGATATTACATTTTCACATGCACATTTTAATTTAAAATAAACATTGCTGAAATTAATAACAATTCTTTAGGTTTACAGATGACCTTTCATTCAAAATCATTTAACAATGTTTTTATATACTGTTTTCCAAACTATATGATTCAACTAGACCACAACAGAAATGAATTCACAGCAGAGGAGACTATGGCATTTTATAGTACATCACAATACTGCATTTTTAGGGCAGGAAGTTATAATTTTAAGGAAGCAAAATGCAATTACCAAAGCTGGAATTCTGTACAGATTGGAATAAATATGTATGAACAATGGCATGAGATCTCAAATGACCACATACTGCCAATAGACTTTTTGCATAGCTTTTAGGAGAAAAAGGTAATCTAGGGCTGCTGATAGACATGGTAGGGAGAAGGAAAAAACACCCAGCACTTTATTGGAAGAAGAAATGCTGACCAAGCTTTTCAGTGTCTGGATAGATTAGGCACTTCAGTGGGACTTTTTGGCATTTTTATCTAATAGTTGGATTCAGCTATTATCAGCTATTAGATAAAACCAAGCCTGCTGAAGCTAGGCCTGTGCGAAGCAGCAAGTATTCGATTCGGATGATCCAGAGGGACACTGATTCGATTTGGTGATTTGAGTCACTGTCCGGATTCGATTCGGCCGAATCAGATTCAAAGATTTGGCGCCGATTTGAAGATTTGGCCATAGGCTCAACAGGCAGCAGTCCTCAAGGACGCTGGACACAGCTGCCTCCAGATGGTAAATCTGTCACGGTGGGCTGAGGAGAAGGGCAGATCCGGGAGCATACGCCCACTCCCATGCCCTCCCAGACCAGTGGCCCGCTGCAGCGGGAGCCCCCCGCCCTGGTTGGACAGCTTGCCCCAGCCCCAATCCCTCCCTTCCTGGGTGACATTGATCTACCCCTCCCCAACACCCATTCCCTCCCCCCCTCCACCTACCACAACAGACTTACCAGCTGGAGGACCACTGCCTTTTTAATCTATGCCCAAATCGGCACCAAATCTTTTCCAGATCAATTCAGAGGCTTCTGAATTGATTTGGACCTTTTAATGGGTCTTTCAATTCGACATGGATTCGGAGATTTGGCCACCAAATAGGGCCAAACCTCCTCCAAATTCAAATCGGCTACCGAAACTTCACACAGCCCTAGCTGAAGCACTGAATCTATACAGATGCTGGGCAAGCCAGGTAAAACTAACGCAACGCCTCTTCTGGGTATGCACTGTACTTGTCACAGGGCTGTGGTGAGCTTAAAGTAAAGTGCTGTTTTTTTCACATCTTTAAGCAGCCTAGATAACGTAACATCACAGACTGAAAAGTGGCCTTTAGGTACTGAAACAGTAAAATCCACAGTAATATGCTACCTATTCTAATTTTATAAAATGTACGTGTTTAAGAAGCAGCTAAACCAAGGTGCTCTAAAGGACTGCAATTCTCAAAAGCACTTAAGAGTCGAATCCTATTTTCAAAGTGCTGAAACAACACTTAAAAATGCACTTTTGAAAAGTTTAGTTCAAAACAAAGATGCAAAAGAGGAATAACTGCAAAATAATTAGGAGTACTTCAAGTATTTGCATATTAAGTACTCAGAATCCAAGGCTGTTCTCATTTTGAAGTTCACCAAGTGAAGGCTAAACTGTGGTCTGGCAAAGAAGATAAGGAATGTTAATCTCTATAAGTGGCATACTTATTAAAGTTCCAAACCTGCATACAAGGGCTCTGTCCAAGACCACTCACTCATCACCACTGCCTGTAAACAAGGCCTTTATTCCTGGCAAACTACTGCTCCAAAAATTAGGAAGAAATATTCCAGTTAACCAGCTGAGACTAGCACAAAGGAGAAAAATGCCCACTGAATTATCAAACACTTAGAACACAGAGAATATAATACTTATTCTGGCTAGAGTCTCCATCTTATACAAAGCTATTAGCATTGGTAACAATTTTAAATAGGAATCATTTAAGATTTAGAATTGAGGGGGAAAATATTATGTTCATTAGACCACAAGAAAATAACAATGACATTTTTACTTTCTGAGAACCTCAGCATAGTTTGAAGCAGTTTCGTCATAGGATCTGTTAAACGGGAAGCAAAGATGACAACTGACCACGTTTGATCCACAGGCAGTTAGTGGCCCTATGACATTTTTCACGATGGTAAGGGAATTAATCCCACCAGAAGTCTGAGCCAAAACTTCAGTTGGCTGTTACGTTTTGTCTTTCAATTTCTTTTAATTTCACATGGGTAAGAACAAGTAGTAAGAGATAGCTTAATTACTCTGTAGTGAGATGCAGTTAAACAGCTGCTACATTTCACCAGGTGTGGTTGAATTTCAGTAACTAAGCTAAAGACTTACACTATTTAAGTGTATTTTAATATTGTTAACTACAGATTCTGCTAAATGCCCTCAAATACAACGCTTTCAAACACATCTGTAAAAGTTAACTACTTTTGAAGAAGATCCCAATAAACAATTCTAACCAGCACATAGTCCCTGACAACCATAAAGAAATGTGCTGCCTCAGGGGTGGGCATATGGGGCATGTGCTTCAGGCACTAGAAGAGGTAGGCCTCTCTCCCATTCCCTGCTCTGCTTGTACTTCCTGGCTGCATACTGCAGCAGAGCAGGCAGTTTGTGTCAGCGAGCACAAGGTGTCCTGGAAATCAATTTTGGTGAGTAGAAGTGATGTTCACTGGAGCTAGTGGGAGAGCTGACCCCATGTTCTGCCACTGAAATCAATTTTTTTTGCCTTCTCAACAAATTACAGCAGCAAAAAATGGAGCAAAAGTTCCCTGAAGCAGGAGCCAACATGACTGCCGCTCTAGAGATCTACAATTCCCAGAATGCACTCTATGGTGCACACTGACTGTGCTGCTGCTGCCTGCTACTCCTCTGAGCTGCCTACCCAGTCATATTATTCACACATTATGCCGCTGCTAGCAACCTTCTATCAAAAATTAACTTATGTACAAACATATCCAGAAATAATCCAATACAATTAAATGGCTAATGTGATTTCGATTTTGAAAATTTAAACTCTGAAGAAGTCAAGATGAACAAATGTTTAAGAGTTTTTTAAAATCTCCTTTAAAAAGTAGTTTTTTCACTTACGCTGTAACTGTGCAGCTCGTAGTTGTTTCTTTAACCTCTCCACCTCATTCTTTAAAAATCTGATATGTCTCATCATATTTTCTGGAGAATCTATCTCCATCGATATGTCTCTTGGTGATGGTGGAGCAGATACTGGCTGATCTAACTTCTCCTGCAAGATTCTATATTAAAATAATATTAATTATATTTCTGAAAGAAAAACACCCAGGGAGTTAATGACAAGTATACATGGCAATTATTCTTTAATAACATGCTTGAGTTTCACTAATGAAGACAAAATTTGTCAAATGACAGCTTCTCAAAGATCTTTTACTGTTTCAAATGGTGACATATCAAGTATTTATATCATTAAATAACTACTACTTAGAAAACAAACTGGTTTTTGCTTAGCTCTTAAAATGTGAATCAATGGCTACCTCAACTCCACCAAGCGTGGCCAGGTTTTAAGAACTGTTTCATTTATATCATTTAAGTTTGAGAATTAAAAGTAACATTGAATGCATAAGGGTAAAGAACTAAATATTTATAGTTTTATTTCACTAACGATTGTGTATCATGCGCATATATCTTTGGTTTTATATTAAGCACTTCTGAATTCTATATCGAAACTTCACAGCAAATCCATGTCCAAATTGTATGGGACATTTAGATTTTTTTTTTTTTTTACAAGAACACAATTCTCAAGCTAAAAGAAATCCAAGTGGTCCATTCTCCCCACACACCTCTAAAACTTAAGACTGCTAGAAGGTCAAAGCAATCTTCTCCAGTTTTTCCGGAGAGAACCTCAGAAAGGTTTCAAGGATGTTTACTGAGAGCTAGCTAAAACATCCTTAAGGGTAGAGAGGTAATTAGCTCTTATAGTCTGAAGTCTGACAGGAGGCAGGGCAGGGCAACATCCTGGAGACAACTGGTTCTAGGAGGCCTAAGTTTTCACAGCTGTTGCCTACAAAACCTTATACCTAGGGACCTACTCAAACTGTGAAAAACAGCAGTTTCCATGATTTTGCATGGAATCACAGATTTAAAAATAAAATTACTAAAAATAAAATGCTGGCTTCCCAGCGCGAGCCAGTGACTACTGCAGCCTGGCCTCGCAACCCACTAGATGGCAATGAACTGGGAAAAATCACATTGAATTCCAAATTTTTACATATTAAATTGGATAGCATCCATAATAATCAACATATTGTGACAAGACAAACCGTTTTTCTGCTTCAAGTTTATCCATTCTCTTCCACAGGCGATTCACTAATGCTTCCTGTTCTTGCTCCAATGTATTTTCCAGGTCAATCTTCTCACGCCTTAGCTGGGGAAGGAAGCAGGTTGCTAAAAGTTAGGCAAACAGCCTGCATGAATGTTATTACTGAAACTTTAATATTCAGACTATTACTTTGGTAAATTTTTAGGAAAACTGCATTTGCTACAACAGTATCAGCTACAGAATAGCAACCAAAAAGAAAATGGAAGTACATCTTAGATGGTACATAAATTAAATTATCTCTGGGGTGCACAGCCTTTTCCAACACTGCCCCCTTCAGTGCATTTTTCATACACTTTTGGGGTGCTTTGTAGTTACCCAAAAAATCGCATCCAATTTGAAAGAGTAATGAAACAGTGAAATTACAAATCCTGTTACAGACACCCCATATTTCAGCAGGTCACATGGATAATTTAATTTTCTGCACTTACCATTCTTACAGGGCATTTTAAACATTTTTAAAGGGTAGGAATACATACATAAGTGAAAAAGTACTTAATTCTAAAGAATTAATTTATGTTTGCTTGATATGGAAGGTAAGTCTTCTAAATTGTGCATAAAAAGTAGTGAATGAAGAAAAATGACCCCAATTGTTGCATCACTTAGCATTAGTAGAAACAAGTCTATATACTAGAGACAGGCAAACCCCAGCATGCATGCCAGAATGTGGTATGCAAAGGCATTTGCTTGGCATACACAACTCGGGCAGACAGTGGGGAGCCACAAGGGGCTCGATCCTAGTTATAGCAGTGCAGTCCTGGCCCTTCCCTGTCCACCCCAAGGTGTGTGTCCACCCACTGCCAGCATCAAACCCGGCTGGGGCTCCATGGACCCAGATGCAGCTGCTTCCAGCCTCCCTACCACCTGATGAGAGCAACCCAGGCTCTGTGGCAAGCAGCAGGAGACTGGCCAGAGTCTAGGCTGGCTGTAGTAGGCAGCCAAGAGGATGCAAGCAGCTGCATCAGGATCCACAGAGCGTCAGCCCAGCTCATTGCTGGCAGCACATGCATGTGTGCCTGCGGGTGGAGGGTGAGGAAGGAGCTGGGGCTGCACTGCCACAACAAATAATCAGGCCTCTCACAGCTCCCTCATTGTCCAGCCCTGGCATGCCACCATCTTAAAAGTCGAGGTTGCGTGGGTTTTTGGTACTCTGCCCAAAAACATTGCTAGCCCCTGGCTACATAGTTTGTTATCAATCAGCTTTTAAAATACAAAAGTTTAACATTCCATGCTTATTTACTGTGTGAAGAAATATCAACTGAAAATCTTAGCTACCAGGAAGCAGGAAAAATACTGTACATCAAAATTTTAGAGATGGTGATCAGTAGTCAATTTTTAGTGCAAATTCACTACAAATCATACACGCACAACTGTAACTATGAAAACATTAATGGTTCAATTTATTGGCAGCAGTGTTGTGAAGAGAAAAGCAGTACATAGGCTAGAAGAGTTCAATACTTTGTAAAATAAAACTGATTAAATCAAACAAATATCAGCTAATATTTATGACACCTGTAAGTAAATATCCCTGTTTTTCAACTGAGGAACACAGATTAAGTGATTTTCTCAGTCATAATGCAAACTGATGGGTTACCCAGGAAAAGAACCCAGATGTGTGTTTTAGGTTACAAAGCTGTGGCATCCTGGTGACGAATCACTGCTCCAGCCTGGGGGAAGGGGAGGGTTCCAGCCTCAGGTGGGACATCTAAGCAATAATGTAACAATAATAGGCATGAGTAATGTTTCTGCCACTCTGCTGCTGTTCTGTTTCTGTTGATAATGGACTGTCAAAACAGTCTTTGCAGACATTAAATTTAGTGCATGTTGCCAGGAATTTAAAAATATAAAAAAACCTCGCAGCTATTTTAAATGTCTCTGCTTTATGAACATTCTACTAAACCTACTTGTTGGTATTTAAATGCATTACAATTTGTGTTTAACACTTTTAACAATTAACAAAATAAATGGAAATTAATATAGACTTTGCTTGCACTGGTATTTCAAAGACTCTAAAACAGCGTAATATTAGTTTATTTTCCTACCCTAAAGTTCTCATAAACAGCCATCTCCACCTTGTGGCTAAGAAAGCTATTTCAGCCTAACATTAATTTCCAAATTGCTTATCTTGATCTTTGCCACCTACATGTTTTTGGGTTTCTATTTCTCAAAAAGATGATACATTTAAAAGTGACAGCAGAAAACAAAACAAACATCTGGCACATATCAGTATTTTACATACTTAAAGTGCAAAAGAAACCAAAGTGTATAAACACTACCCCCCCACCCCACATAGACGCTTTAAAAAAAGCTACACTCTTCCACAAGGATTTACTTTTGAAATTCATGGGATTTGCACTAAGTCACTCAATGCATTTACTACATTCCAAAATTAGGTTGCTACATACGGGCTTGAAAATTCTGGCCTGAATGTGTTAAAAATTCACAATTTTCAATATACTACAAAATTATTTCCATTTTCAATAATAAACAGTGAAGCATTTAATTTTTAACTAGAGTGTTTATAATAGAAGTTATTAAAAGTAGATATTACTTTAGCCCTGAATACTTGAAAAAAAAATCCAGGATGAAACAAGGAGGTTCTCCAGCCCTGATAATTACTGCCTACACAAAGCAGAGCTAAACCACTGTATCATGGGACGATAACATCCATCAAAAAAAGACAGTGTCTTCATGCCATTAAGGGCAGCAACAAACTTCCTCTTGCTCCCCTACCTGACCACATATGGGCTTAGAAGCCAAAGTAGTAATAGGCCACGGACAAGTTTAACTTTGAAGCACTTTGCTTTTCTTTGAAACATTTAAAAAACTGGAGTGTTTCAGCTGCATACAGATGTACAGCCTCGCACCATCTCCCACAAATAGTTACAACTGCATGTAGCAGTGTGCTCTCCAGCCAGATGGCAACTCTGTTCCCCATCCCACCATGGGGCCAGTGGGGAAAGTACAGGGCAGAAAGTCAATGACTGTTCTTCTGTGTACTCAACTTCCAGTCATCCAGTTTGGGAGGTGAAAAGGCATGCAATGATTTCTGTCTTTGGAGACTGACAAGGACACTGAAGCACTGCTCCCTTCTCACCTACCCTGCCAGGAAACCAGAGGCACACAAAAGTATGTCACTAGTGAGTCCCAAGAGATGACTGAGCACAACAGGAGAGTGTGTGTTGGAAGTGGGGATGTTGAAGGACCAAGCAGCTGTCTGAAACATTCTGGAGTGGGGGCACACAACAGGAATCACTGCATTTTGAAGCACTTTAAAATAACTTTATTTCAGGGTTATTTTTCGAGCACTTTCTGTCTACTTGCACTTTGGAGTAATTCAAATGTTGCATCTGTGTGGAGCTATACCCATAGCTTCCTCTTGGGTGTCCCTGATGGAGAGAGAGGAGACTGGTTCTCATTTATCTATACTTCAGGAATTGTTAATCCTATCCCTTCTCTCCCTGCCTTCTTTAATACTTTCTCTCTCATGTTCTCTAGGATTCAGAGACGTTTAGATAATCCAGACTTCAGTAGAGGGCACCCTCATGTCTCTCTCCTGGGGAAACAGAAAACCAAGCAAGATGAGGGAGCTGGAGTACCACAACTAGGCAAGAGGATTTGGAAATCACGGGCTGTGGTGTAAAAGTCCAGTGTAACCTCTCATCACCAGCTTTTTTCCTGCATTCATTGCATTTTTCCCTTACATTTGTATTTCCCACATTTATAACTGCTGAGGGGGTGGATAAGCTAATAGGCAATATTCCTCAATGTAAGTGTGTACCAAGACATACAGAGCTTAGGGGCTGACATCTAATTAACTAATTATCTTAATGTTCTTTATTGGCATCTAGTGGCTGGAGCTATGGAGCTGGACACTGCCTGACTCCAGACTTGCATTCAGCCAGTAGATGAATGGCTTGACAAATGAGAGCTCCAGCACTGAGCAAAGCTGTCATTAAAGGGTGAGCAGCAGCACAACTAGATCACACTGGTTAGTTTAACTGCCACACTGTGGCTGCCACTAAAATGCTCATGGTTAACAATGGGACTGGGTTAAGTGTGACCCAGTGAAACCAGTAATAATGAATAAACTTAATATTTGTAGTGGTTTGAAACATGAGCTATTAATATTTATACTCCATCTGAAAGATTTGTAAGAACTCTCACATAGACATACAGGTGTCCCAAAAGTTAAAAATGGTCATCGCAATGCCAAAATCCCCCAAGCCAAACTATTTTAAACCTTGTCATACAACATACCATTACACAGATTGGCAGTCTGAGGCACAATTTATTGCAATCACCTCAGACTAGAATCCACTGGCTATTTCGTTCCAGCCGTTTCTAGTGAGGAACATTTTTCAAAGAACAGGAAATGAATACGATATGGTCTCCCATGATGCTCTTATAAAAAAATCTGGGGGACTGTGGGCTGGCAGAGTCCATGGTCAGGTAGGTTGGGAATTGGCTAATGGGTTGAACCCAGAGAGTGTCAGTGGATGGGTCTATCTTCCTGGAGGGAGGTGAGAACTGGTGTCCTGCAGAGTTCAGTTTTTGGCCTCATGCTGTTCAACATCTTTATCAACGATTTAGATGGGGATGTGGAAAGCACGCTGGCCAAGTCTGCAAACAATACTAAGTTATGGGGAAAAGCAGTCACATTAGGGGATAGGAAGTGGATTCAAGGAGACCTGGACAAGCTGGAAAGCTGGGCAGAGTGGAACTGGATGTAGTTCAATAAGGATAAATGCAGAGTGCTTCATTTGCGGAGAGGAAGCCAGCGACATGAATATAGATTAGGAGATGTCCTGGCCATCACAATGGCTGAATGGGACCTCGGGCTTACGGTTAATCATACGATGAATATGAGCCACCAGTGCGACACTGTAGTCAACAGAGCTAATAGCATATTGGGATGCATTAGCCAATGGGTCGTGAGCAGGGCTAAGGAAGTGATACTTCCTTTCTACTTGGTGTTGGTGAAACCCCACCTGGAGTACTGTGTCCAGGTCTGGGCATCGCACTTCAAAAAAGATGTGGAGAATCTTGAAAGGGTCCAGAGAAGGGGCACAAGAATGATTAAGGGCCTGCAGGACAAACCTTATGAGGAATGACTAAGGGATCCGGGACTGTTCAGCCTAGGAAAAAGAGGACTGAGGGGGGGGACTTGGTGGCTGTCTATAAGTATGTAAGGGGTGAATGTTGGGAGCTAGGAGAAAAACTGTTCATTAGGGCACCCCAGGGGAAGACAAGGAGCAATGGCAATAAACTGTTAGAGGCTGGTTTCAGGTTGGATGCAAGGAAAAACTTTTTTATGGTAAGGGTGACCAGAATCTGGAACAGATTTTCCAAAGAGGTGGTGAAGTCCCAACCTTGGAAGTCTTCAAGAGGAGTCTGGACAGACACCTTCCTGGGATCATTTGATCTTAGCAGTATTCCTGTCCAGAGCAAGGGGGTTGGACTCGATCTTTCAAGGTCCCTTCCAGTCCTTAATTTTTATGATTCTATGACTTACCTGCTCCAAAGTGAGTTGCTTAGAAATAGTATCATTTTCCAGTTTTTTAATTTTCTTCATTAGTTTGTTTACTTGAAACTCTTGTTCCTGTTCCAAATGCTGCTCCAGTTCAGCCTTCTCATGCTGTAACTAAAAATTCAAGAGAAATAGGAAAATAGTTGAATGCATAAATTAAGACTACAAAAGCAGATCTACAGGCAACGTTTATTCTTTCTAGATATTAAAGCCTTCTCTAATATTTATATTCTACTCCCATCAACAAATCTAAAGATACGCACCTTAAACTTCAAGAGAAATATTATAAATGGTTTACTTTATAAAGCATAAACTTCCAAATATTGAAATAGTATAAATATAGTTTTGGGATGCACACATTCAGCATGGAAAGTTTTTAAGAGACTGTCACAGCAATGACACAGCAAGAACTCATTTTTCTTAAAAAGTTTCTGCAACAATTTTAATGAAGTGCTAATGCACTTATTTGGATTATTTTCATAGAACCCAAACTGTCAAAAGTACATTTGGCAAAAAGATAGAATATACAGGTAACAGAAAATTACTTCTACAGTTACAATAGAAGTCAAAATTAAATACTTTAACCTCGCCTACACACTGTGATCATTTCCTAGAAAATTGACAAAAACGTTACATTTCTGAGATACACTTGATAAATATAAAACCACAATTCAAATAAAAAACTATGCCATTGGAAAATGTTCACTAGTTCTAATAAGAAAGCATATGCACATGTTAGACAACACAGTACAGATTTATAAGACAAGTAAAGACATTAGACTACAATGTGGACAGCCACTCTTAATATTGAGAGTCAAAATATACTAGAAATCCTGCAGGAAAAGGACTGCATCTTCCTGTGGGTAAAAGAATATGTATTTCTATTTTGGTAATAGTCATGATAATCTGTTAACTCAATTAAGGCCTACAGCTGAATGTTATTTTCATAAGACAAAACACACATCATAGGCAATGCTTTTGAAGTAAAGTTGCAGTGACCCCAAGCCAACAGCTTTCACAGTGACTGAGTCAGTGCTTTTGAGTCCCAATGCATTAATGCCAACACAAATAACAAGACGTCACTCAAAACCAAAGTCACAGCAGCAGGACTGTCTATCACTGCCAAGTTGAATTACAGCTAATTTTTCATTTGTCTATTTTAAAATATGCTTAATTAAAACAAAAAAAGCAAAGCAAAAAAGACAACATTTTCTACATCTATTACAAAATTAATACTAAAGCAATTCCTAATAATTGTTACATATAGTTAACAGATTAGACTGTTTAAAAAGACAGATGACCAAAAAGTCTTAAATCAGCCTTAAGTCAGCTGCTACTAATGTAAAGTGCATACACAGAAACTATTAACAAACAATGTCATGCAAATACGTATAATGAAAGGACCTCAAAATACTAGAGTTGGAAGCAGTATTTGCTACGTGAAAGAATTATTATATTGTAAATATGTTTAGCAGCAATGACAATCTGGCTCATCAAGTCTTTGCTATAAAATGTGGATGAAATCTGCATTGTGCAGCTATTGATAAGCTTTGTTTAAAGCATCACTGCTATGTGCACTCATTAAACCTTAACTTGGTTTTGTGAACAGCCAAAAGTCAGACTGTGCTGATCAGAAATCTATTTATTTATATACTCGGTTCAGGCGAAGTCAAGGGATTTTCAGGCTCTAGGAAAGCTGTCTGTTCTATCCAACTCACACATGAAGTACACAAGAAACCATAAGCAAAGAAGAATGTACCTCCCAGGGGTGGGAGGTGGTCAAGATGACTGCCATTTGGGTTCTGCAGTATTGATTCCTCTGCTCAGCATTTTGACTGTAAAAGCAGCTGTGATGACACTTCTAAACTGCATGATATCATGGTATTCAAAGTGAAAAGTCACTCAGATAATACAATCATCCCCTCTTTCTTAGTTGCTTTGACCAGCTGTGAAAATAATTAAAACAATGCTGACATTTAAATCTTGTTTTATCCCATTAATAGCTGAGAACCGGCATGTCTAAGTCTCTAACAAAATAGCCACTGAAGTAAAGAATACATATAAAGTAAGAGAGTATTATCAGACAACTGTATTTTTAATATCTGGAGTGTTGCCCATGAAATTAAAGTGGCAATTGTTTATAAACACAGAAAAAGCAGTAATGAAAAGGAATGGGAAAAATACTTCCCATACTGACATCTGCAGGTGGCCAGGGAGAAGAATTTCTTCCTGGCTGCCTTTCCAGTGGCAATATCTGTGGGGTGGGACTAGAAAAAGCATAAAAGCCTCTGTTTGGAGGCATGCTGTGTCTTTTCCCAGCTTGTTCCCTGTCAGCAACTGTGAGACAGAGGAACACAGAGACTGAGACATTTGTAGCTTCCTGGTTCAGTACTAGTTGAACGTGCTTGCTCCTTTTTCTCGTTACAAAGGAGTGGGTAGGATTTATCTTAGCTTAGCTATTCTAGTAAATTATTATTAGTATTATTACTATTCAATTTATTTCTTTGAATTTAGATTTGCTCTTTTTTTTTTTGGAAACTTGGAAAAAAGAAAGGGGCGTTTTCCCTGCCAGTGTGATTAATCACTGTGCAGGAAGGCACAGATGGCTTGCACGCACACACACAGATACACAGACAATATAGAGAAAAATCAGATATTCATAGCAGAAGACAGACAGCACACAATTTTTATATAACCCTTAACATTGAAGCAAACAATCAAAGAGGCCAGTACACACACGCAAAAGAGGGAATAAAACACACAATACAAAAGGATTTACACACATTCACAGACCTTTTGCAGCACAGGAAAGATCAATATGAAGTGTGCTGGAAAGGCAGGTGCCAGGTCTTCTGGCAAGGGGGGAGGAGTCAGGGTAGGGGGACAGCTAGACCTGCAAGCCCCCCGCCTCCCAAACACAGATGCAATTCTATTCCCAAGCAGCCATAAGTGCTGCCAGTGGAAGCCAGGAGGTGGGAGCAGTGTCCGCACCTAACATCCCTGCACCTGCACCACCACCACTCAGTCCAGAAGTGAGCACCAGCAGTGGAATCACCGTCTCCTCCACCCTAATTTCAGCTCTTAGCGTGAACCTCCCACTACCAGAGGAGCTGGAGCTGGAACCAGGAATACTGAGCGTGTTGGCTCAAACAATTTGGGGACTGAGGGGGAAATCAGTTTGTGCTCCACACCCCTCAAGTTTCCCCTAGACCCAGGTCTCCTCCGGAAAGCAGCACCTCGGAGGAGGCTGAGGTTGTGGAGGCAAGTGGCTCAGATGAGGGAGCTCCTGCTGTTGAGCCTCAGCCTGCTGAGAAGGGAGAAAAGGCAGGATCCTCACCCTCAATCCAGAACTGGGGGAGTAGTGTAGTGTGGGATCATTTTGAGGTGGCAGATGATCCCAGGTTTGCCATCTGCCAGCACTGCCGAAGGCACATGAGCTGTGGCAAGGACGTGAGACACTTCCCACCACGGTGATGCTGCTGCATCTGAGGAGGCACCACCCCTTTGCCTTTCCTTCTGCTCAGCCAAAATGCAGGAAGGTGGCAAGCTGCTTCCACCGCAGCATAAAGGGGGTCAAGATGCTGTGGGAGAAACAGGCAGAGCTGAGCATCACGCAGGACAAAATCATGCAGGATGTGGAGACTCGATGGAACTCCACATACCTGAAGCTGCACCAACCTTTGGAGCAACAGAAGGCCATCCATGAGACGGCCTTGCTTGAGGAGACTGGGATCAGTGGCCCCCTGAACAGAGCTGAGTGGGGTACCATCTCCCAGATCTTGGTGGTCCTCCAGGCCTTCCTCAAGGCTGAAATCCTTAGCACTGGCGATGCCCCCTAGCGAGGGAACCAGAGAACCAAATGGAGAAGTTCCAGGGGATCAATGTTCCTGGCTGAGGCAGGCCACTGTCACCAGATGTGCAGGCACTAGTGAGGCGGCTGAAGGAGGGCATCAGGAGACGGCTGGATCCCTTGCAGTCCAGTACGGTCCATGTGATAGTGGGCATGTGCAACCTGAGGGTGAAGGGGAGCATGTTCACTGGCAGCCCCAAAACCCTTGATCACTGAATGCAGGTGCTGGTGAACAAAGTCAGGGAGGCTGAAGTGCAGAGGCATAGGGATGTAGAAGAGGGAGATCTACTTTCGAGGCTTTGGTGGCTACCTATCTCGCTGAGGATGTGAAGCCCACTGCATTGCAACCCGTTGGCCTACTGGGCAAGCCGCAGCCAGATGTGGCAGAATCTGGCCATGGTTGCCTGGCAACACCTGTCCTGTCTACAGACCAGTGTTCCTCACGAGAAGGTATTCAGCCTTGCTGGGGGTATCGTGACACCCCACTCCACCTGCTTGGATCCTATGTTGGAGGAGCAGCCGGCATTCCTAAAAGGTGAACCTCCCGCTGCTGGGGTTCCTCAAGCTGCACCTGCAGACGGACTGAGTGCCATCCTCCTCACCCTGTCTGCACCCATTTCCTTTTTGGGGTTTTTTAAAAGTCGAGTAATTCCTCACTGTCAGCTGGACAGGGCACTAACTGCATCACCAGCCAGTAGGGGAAGAACATGTCCCTGCTGAGCTCATTTCCCTGCCAGAATGAACTTGGAGATATGGGATTGGGGCTATCGGGAAGGAGGAGACTCCAGGTCCTGGGCATGACCACTAAAACTGCACCCTGCCAGGGTAGGGAGGCCTGGTGGGACTGCTGGCAGCATGGCAGCCCTGTAAATGATAGGACCAACGATGCTCTGGTGAAAGGCAGGTAGGAGGCGCCATAACCTCCAGCGAATGCATGCACACACAAAGTCCTGGCTGGGGAACGCTCAGACCTGTCATGTCTTTGACAGGCCTGACGCTTGCTGGTTGCAGTGCAGTTGTGAGGCTCCCAGTGAGCTCAGCTTAGGTACCCGGGATGCCAGCCTTAGGGTTGAAAACCCCTTTGTCAGGATGAGGAAGTACCTGCAGTTGGTCCTGGATGGAAGGACAGCAAGGGAGATCATAGTTGCCATGAACCACATGGTACAGGGGTAGCTTGTTGGGCAGGCCGAGCTCACCCACAGCAGTTCCGTTTGGGTACCTTTGATGCTTCTGCTGATGCTACTGGTGTTGAGCCAGCTAAATT